GCTAGGGGCAAATTAAATGATCGCGAATTGAAAATTCCGTAAAAGTTTCTGGTCTTCAAATTTTGTTTTTCTTAAAAACCTTTTTTGCGCGTTTTTTTCGGACCATTCGTAACAGTTTTACAAGAAACTAAAAATTTAAAGACCAGAATTTTTTACGGAATTTTCAATTCGTGATCACTTATTTCGCCCCTTGGTAAGAGGTTCAATTGATGGTACATGGCAGAAACGCAGTCACAATTCATTGCACGGTGTAGTTACTGCGATTTCTGGTAATAAATGCATTTATATTGAAGTTTTATCTAAGTACTACATGGGCTGTAAAATGTGGAATAGTAAAAAAGGAACTCCGGAATATTAGTGTTGGATAATTGATCATCAATGTGAAATAAATCACAAATCTTCATCTGGAAGTATGGAGTCTGCAGGAGCAGTAACAATTTTTAATCACTCGTTTAAAAAAAATATTCTAATTTATAAAGAGTTTCTTGGTGATGAAGACACTTCTTCATTCAAAGATGTTAAAAACTCAAACGCTTACCAGGATTTCAATATCACTCCAATAAAACTTGAATGTGTTGGTCATGTGCAAAAAAGATTAGGTACACAACTTAGAAATTTAGTTAAAGCACACAAAGGCACTAACACTCCTTTATCAGGTAGAGGTAACCTAACAGAAAAATGTATAAATTCTATGCAAAACTATTATGGCACGGCCATTCGTCAAAATGCCAACAACTTTTATGCTATGAAAAAGGCTGTTAATCTATTTTAAAAACTTTGGAAACAAGAAAATGCAACATCAGTTTTGCCCGAGAGGATTGACAAGTTGGTGCAAATATTGGGCTCTAAATAATAAAAATTACAAACTAAAATTATGTATACCTATTTGGATTAAGAATCTTATTTTACCAATCATCAAGGACCTTTAGGCTGATGATCTTCTAATTAAATGTTTGCATGGAACAACACAAAATGCCAATGAAGCATTAAACTCAATTAAATAGTCTCGCGCACCAAAGCACACATTTGTTAGTAAATCCACAATTGAAATGGGAACATACTCAGCAGTGCTGCATTACAATGATGGTGCTAATGGTGTATTAGAAATTCTAAAGTACTTTGGCTTGAATGGAATTGTTACATTAGCTTCATCAAGTAAAGTTCACAAAACCAGATTTTGGCAAATATAAAATGCAGAGAAAAAAACTAAGAGCAGTTAAAAGAGGTATCACAATCAGCAAGTAAAAGAAACAACTGATAGTTACATTTCTGGTGATTTTTTACATTTCTGATTTTGATAGTCTTTATGTTCTTAATATATATTTTTTTCTTATTTTTGCTTTTTTCTTAATATATATTTTTTTAAACTTTAAAACACATTTTCTCGTTAACGAAACAGAATTACATAATAAAATTTTTAGGATTTGTTTATCATAATGTAATACTTCAATTTAACCTTACGAATTTTTATGAAAATCTATAGAAAGTAAAATATTGTTGTTTAAAGTGCTGAATTTAGTGATATTTCATATATATATATATATATATATACATATATATATATATATATATATATATATATATATATATATATATATATATATATATATATATATATATATATATATATATATATATATATATATATATATATATACATACATATATATATATATATATATTTTTTTTTCGTCATTTGACACATTTTACAATGTTAACCTTACATTCAAATAAATTTATACAAATGCAAGCTGACTGGGGCAAGTAGAAGACAAAATGTCTTATCATTAAGCCCCTTCGTGAAAATATAAAAAAAAAAAAATTTACAATTTCCAATAATATATAAAAGAGTGAAATTAAAAGAAGTTTAAAAAAACAAATTAAAAAGTTTGAAAAAATCAAAAAGTTTAAAAAATAATTTTTAAGTTTGACAACACAAGCTTGTGTGTTCCGCAACACAAAACTTTTGTCATATATGAACAACACAAGACGATGTTAATTTAACATAATGCCTTGTGTTAAACAAACAACACAAGACATTGTGTAGAAATTTATGCGTAATCTTGCGGTTAATCGCAAAGTTAGTTTTTACTCATAAAACACGTTTTAAAACATATTTTACGCAGCAATGTTGAACTAAATGACTAAAAAAAGTCGCGACGATTTTTAATTTAAACTTAAATTATAGAGGATGTGCAGGGGCGGATCCAGCATTTTTTGGTGTTTGAGATAGCTTACTTCCAGACATGGAGCAAACTCCAAACATTTACATGTTTATACTTATATCAAGTAAGGATGGTTTGCAAAAAATTGCGATGATTGGAGCCTGGGAACAAAAAAGCCCCAAAATTTGAGACGTACCTGCCCCAAACGTGAGAGCAACAAGTTGATAAAATATTTTTTGTACTATTCTCAACAAGAATTATATTTATCAATAAATTTTAAATTTCATAGTAAAATATTTTAGCGCTTAAAAATTATGACCATATAAAAATTGTGACCCCCTCGAATTGAGGGGGATTCAAACTTTACATGGTCATAATTTTTGAACGCTGAATTATTTTACAATGAAATTTAAAATTTATGGATAAATATACGTCTTGTTGAGAATAGTACAAAAAATATTATATCATCTTGTTGCTCTCACGTTTGGGGCAGGTACGTCTCAAATTTTAGGGCTTTTTTGTTCCCAGGCTCCAATCATCGCAATTTTTTGCAAACCATTCTTATTTGATATAAGTATAAACATATAAATGTTTGGAGTTTGCTCCATGTCTGGAAGTTAGCTATCTCAAACACCAAAAATGCTGGATCCGCCCCTGATGTGTGCTTTCATTTTATTGAAAGTTTGTTAAGAAATAGAATACAAAAGTATGTTTAATAATTTCATTTTATCATCTGAACCAAATTTACATCATATATTAGTATATACTTTATCCATTTATTTTAAATAATATGTTATGTTTGTAGTTTGAAATATATTTTTAAAATTTACTGAAAATATCGTGCATATTTTTAATTTATAGTTTCACATAAAAGATTTGCAGTAAAAAAAAATTTCAAAGAAGAAGATAAAGGCTAAAATTACTAAAATGTCCTAAATTACTGTCTAAAATTTGTCAGCATCAGTTTGAGGCTATATTGTTTCTGAATATACTACATATGAAATATCTCTTCGTATAATTTACGTGCTTTAGTGGATGCAACAGAACCAGGCAGTTTATAAACTAATTCTTGAAAGAAATTGTAAAAAATTTGTAGTTGCTTTGGATATTCAAGATTAAATACAAAAACGACTTGAAAAGACAGTCAAAGGCAACAGAAACTTTCGAAGGTTTAACTATAATTGCTTTTCCATCGCATACAACAAAAAAAGACGATCCACACGACAAAATGAACGGTTGCTGTTTTGGATTTGAGCGATTAAGGAACATCTCGAGTGTCTCGCCGTCCTGAAAAAAAAAGTATGCAATTTTTTTAAGTTTGAAGTAAATCTAATCGAACAAAAATTAAACACAAGTAAAATAACGAGATAAAGAAGATTGAACAGTTGTGAGTATAATTAAATTTAATACTTCCTTAAAATTATATACTAATGGTATATTAATAATTTAAGAAACAAATAAGATTTCGAAATAAATCTTACCTTTAGTTCTTCAATTAGGAAAAGCATTGCTGCACCTGCTGAAACACCATATTTTCCCATAGTTGGCAAAAGATACCTAAGGGCTTTTAAAGATTTTAGTACTAATGGATCTAAACAAAATTAAAATTATAATATCATTTACATAGATAAAAACATAACTTAATAAATGTAACTTTTTCGTTTAAGATTTTTTGGAGATTATTTACCTGTATTGCTGTTCCCTTCAGTATCTATGTCACCTATAATGTCAATGCATTTGCCAGTCAGCCTGCAGTATGCAATTATTTGTTTCGAAATTTTTGTTTTCAATAAAACTGGAATATTTTCTACATAACTTCGATTAATGGATTGGAATTCATCATTTAACTGAATAGTACAAGCAAATGTTACAAATTATTTTAATGCAAATGTTACAAATTAATTTAATGCAAAAATTGAAACTACCCCTCAAAAATTTGTCTAGCCAGGAATTTTTTTTTTTTTACCAACAATGGAGTGTCCATAAATTGGAAATTGGAAATTCCTCAAGTATCCTATTAGCTGTCGGTAAATCATTTCGGATCCACAATTCAGTTCTACAATCTCATTTTCATTTCGGTCTGTATAAATAAGATGCAACAATTTTGTCATTACTAAATCATATTCTTCGTTGCTTATTTCCGCTGGGTCATCTCCAACAGCAATAAACCCATCATCTAATAGTAAAAAAATATTACAAAACAAATAATATTTTACAGAACACATAAAGTAAAAAACTATAAAGATAATATTTATACTAAATTACATTATGTATAAGCCCTGTATTATGTCCTATTTTTAAGAAAAGATTTCCTATTTTAAAAAATATGGTATTAACATGAGCATTATAATATAAGCATAGTATAAGCATTAAAAATGTGTGTTAAAACTTTTTATAATTTTTTAAATATTTATAAAAATGCGTTATGAATTTACTGTTAATAAATGCTTTATAAAATTATCAAATGTTTACAAACGTCTTTTTAAAAAGGTTATAGAAAAATACTCGGCAATTAACTAGGTAATAAAAAATTAACATACTCTTTTTACTGCGAGAACGGTATTTTTGGGTAACGACGATAAATTTCTCCAAAACGGTTAGCGAGAAAACCCTTCGATGTACCCGGACAGTAGTATAATTCCTATTTTTTTAAATAAATTATATCTTTAACGAGAAGTAAACGATATCAAAATCAATCATATAACATTAGAAAGTTTTTTAAAATAATAAACTAAGTAATAAACAACAAACAAATCTTAAATTTATTTTTACAATAAATTGAATTAATAATAAAACAAGAAGAAAATTTGTTGAGACAATAAAGTTAGAATCATGTAAAGATGGTGCAGTGTGTTTGACACACCTAAAATATTAGGTAATGAAAGTATAGTCTACTACATAATTTTGAAACAAAAAATTGAAAAAAAACAAAACAACTTACATATCCATTTCCGCTTCGACATGCCCTAAACTTAAAAGTTGAAACAATACTTTTTGCCGTGCCTAATTGATGCTCTGGTGGAGGATAGCTGTAGAAAGTATTACAGTTTAAACTGAATAAATATAAATATAAAGTAAACTAATTAATGTTATTAGCTATACAATTATGTTACTTATATTAATTATGCTATTTATAATAAATTAAATTAATCACATAATATAACTAACATACTTAATGGAACACTTTTATTTTTATTTTTTTTAATTTTTTTCTCTCGAAGTTTTACATCCATGTTTCCACACTAGTGTGTTTTGGATGGTTCTACAAAGTGACATAAATGCCACTATACAAGAGTTGAAGCAATTTTTTACAACCGGATGTCCTTCCTGACGTTAACATGAAACAGGTTGTACTGGATTTCATGTTACCAGTAGCAGGATAAACTAACATACATATTTTAATAAGAAAATTATGTAATCATGTATTATAGTTATATATACTTTTAAATAATATTATATAACTTACTTTCCGAAGCAATCAATTAAGTAAGAGCATGCTACTTTGACAAGAAAACGATGCAAGCAATCATCCATTACAGCTTTTTGTGCCTCAATAATGATGTTATTTTTTAAAGGATGATTTTCTATTGCATCCGTTATTGACACAACCTAATAGAAGAAACCAATACAGAAGTTTTTGAATTAATCAACTAGTCAAAGAGTATAACGCTGTTGCAACTATAATCTTCTAACAAACATATTACATTTTAATTCAAAAACTGACAAGAAATATTTATACAAATTGAAAATTAAAAAAATATCTATATAACCTAAATAAAATATAAAAACATATTTAAAAAAAAATCAACTATAAAATAAAAAAAATGTTAAAATATAATAAAATATTAGGTACCATCTTTTTTGGACCATATGACTTGGTACATGCAATGGGAGTTACCACAGATGTTTCTATTGTGCATCATAAAGTAAATCATATAACAAACTGTTACTATTTGCATGTCGCATCAATTAAAAATGACAAAAAATGAAATTTGTGTACTAAAAATAAATTGTATAAACATACCAATAAGGTCCACATTTTGCGAATGAACAGGCTTAGAATTTGAAGTTGCTAAAGCTGCTTCTAATTTACGTCTAATAAGAGGAGGTAGTACATTAGGCAGGTCTGTTTCAACATTTAAAAACAGCAAATCTTCCATTGAACTAGCACCTAGCTCTACCAAATGAGGCAGGAGACGATTAATATCCTCCACTGGAAAAACTTTACTTAAGAAGTTGTTAATTTCCTTCATTATTATAAAAAAACTTTACTAAAAGTAAGAAAATCAAAGAAAATCAATAAACATTATCCATGTTTGAACAAAAATTGCCTATCTTCTATATAATATTGCCGAACTTAATAGTTTTAATAGTAGTAGTAGTAGTGTCCCTTGGAGCGTATTTGACACGAAACCCTTGGCAGCCATTGCAACCGAGGTATTGGCAAGAAAGAGTCGCAGCGCTATAAGAAAACGTGAACGAACATCTAACGTACGTAAACTTTAAACTAATGTTAAAGCATATGTTAAAACATACTGAAACATTTATCACGTTTTACAGTTTGATTTTTACTTGAAAATTACATTGCGTCAACCTCTCCTTAATTTTGATCAAACTTTTTTTCTCAAAAAAATTACTACATTTTTATAAAATCTACACTTTATGATATGCTGGTGTAGCTCGAGTGGATAAGGCGGCGAACTTTTGAACAAGTAACTAGAGGTTCGACTCCTACTAAAGGCGGCTATTTTTTTTAATTTTTTTAATTATTTTAAATTACAAAATACTTTCGAAGTTTTATAAAGATTATATACAAACATATGTAACGTAACGATATTATGCACTCACAAAAGAAAAGATTTTAAGAATGCTAAAACTTCATAAAACATTAAAAAAACAAAAAAAACATCACCAGGAGAAAAAATATGTTGCGTATCTATGATAATTGAGACACTTATGTTATTAATGTGCGAATGTAATTAGTCCTAATAAGCTGCGGATGGTCTGAAAAAAAAGTTGTCTGAAACTTAATAAAGAAAAAACTTAACAAGACAGCCCTGCTACTTCATAAGATGCTGCTGTGGAGGCAAAAAAAAAAAGCCTGTAGCTAGATAAAACTTTAAAACTTTCTTTTGACAATTAAAAGTTTATTTTGCTACATTAACTTTTTTACTATAAATATATGCAGCAACTGTTTTTCAAAACGCCTTAATATGCTTATGACGTAATTCAAAAAAAACCCAATTAAAAATAAAATTGTTTGGAAAAACTCTTCGTAAAACGTTTTTTGAAACGAATAACTTTTATTTAGTTTTTTTTTTCTTTTGTGCAACTTTCTTTTCAATAAATTTCTTTACCTTTCAGAATATGACCATTTTAAACAATGCTATAGAAAAAATATCAGTAAATTGATTAGTAGTATTTCAATTATATTAATTAGATTAAATTATATATATTAAATTATATATTATATATATTAAATTAAATAGATAAATAAATTGATATTCAGTAAATTTTTTTATACTTAGTGACAAAATAGACTAATTAGATAAGTCGTTAAGTAGAATGCTAAGAATATATTTATGGCGGTTATTGTTGTTAAGGGTGATTAATAGGCAAATAAATTAAAAGCTAATCAGGGCTTTGAATAAATTATAAACTAATCAGGGAAGTTTTATTGGTAAACCTAATAAATAGGAAGATAACATATAATTCAGGTAGACATTGTTTTCACTTTTTCGCCAAACTTTGATATCTTTGATATTAAAAAATACGACCTTTCCAATAATTATAGATGGTAGTTTATCAACCTTTTTTTTCGGATCCACAATCCGTTATGATTTGTATTTTATCAATGTGAACGAAAGTCTATTCAAATATCTAAATATGTAAACTTTAAGTTCTTTAATTATCAATCAGTATAATTATAAAGTAGATGACATCAAATTCTACCGATTTATTTTTACTTAATAATTTCATTGCGACAATATCTCTTTATTTTAAAGCATTAAATGTTGTTTTTTAAAGTTTAATAAGTTTTCTGTTTATTAAATAGTGTAAAAAGATGATATAGCATTCCACAGCGATTGAAGTGCTTCGCTTCGGTTCAAAACCTTTTGCTTACACAATTTTTTTTTTTAAATCCTATCCAGTTTTCTAGAAAACAAAGAAAAACAAGTTTAAATGCATATAGATGTTATACGCATTACATAAAAATAAAGATATAATATACTATAAGAAAGCAAACGGAGAGAATTTTTAAAAACGTTTTTAAAAATTTTTTAAAACATAAAAACGCTGTTGGAAATTTGTTGCGCATATATCATGATAGAGATACTTATGTTTTAGGTAATTAGTTAAAACTGTGAGTTCAACACACATTAAAGAGATAAATTTCTTTCTTATATATATAAAAAAAAGGTTTTACATGCAATCTGAAATTTTTATTAAAACTAACTGGTCAAGAGTCCTAAAAAGTACGGAAGGGTATGAAAAAAAAAAATTGTAATCTGAAACCTAAAAAAAAAAATTAGTCACTCCAGAAGGTGACAAACAGAAAACCCACAAAATTTCGCCTAATCCGCTAATAGAAATGCTCGAATATTAAGATATAAACAAATATTAAATGATTTTTGTATTACGAAACGTACGCCAACTCTTAAACCACTGTAAAACTACCTTGCGGTTATCTAATTAAATCCACCAAATCCGTTAATAAAAACAGCTTAATTAATAGATTCAAAACCATCTGATTTTGGTATTATGATTTGTGCGCCAACTGTACTCTAAAACCAATAAAACTCGGCCATGTGGTCTTCATATCGATTATAACAATTGCAAAGCGAGGGACGACAAGTAAGTTGTATCTACAAGTTTAATTATTGTAATCTTCATTTAAAAAATTAAACTTATTTTATAATTACCATGTTAATATGTTTGAAGTTAATATGTTTTTGACCCAAGAATAAACATTAAGATTATTTTTTAGAAATGAGCAGCCAAGATACAGAAGGTATTCTTTTAATTTTGTATAACATTAATTAAAGAGATAAAAAGAGATGATACGTCAATAATACTGAGATATTTAGCTTATTTTTTTATTAAGAAATTACATTAAGAAAATTTTGTATATCTTTAGGCGACAAAGAAGTTTCTGCATTTTTTCAAAGTAAGCCATATATATATATATAATATATATAGTAGCAGTTACATATGTTCTAATAGTGGCGGAGCTGTACTTGATTTACGGTGTGAATAAAACGATGATTTAATTTAGCCGTTTTTAATTAAAATCAATCAAGATATGCCGCCCTCCTCTAACCCCGTGAATCAAGTACACCCCCCTAAAATTTAACTAAAATTAAAAAATATATAAATTAATTTTTAGAACTTTAAAAGGCTGGACCCAAAACTCAGTTTTTGTTTATTCCGCTATTTTGATTGATGTTTTTGTAAAGCAGTGAACCTTAAGGGTAGGTACAATCGGCAGAGCAGAGCAGATTGGCTGAGCAGATCATTTACGGCAACTTTTACGTACATATATTAGTTTATTAAAAAATGGCGGTTCCAGCACTTATAAATTCTTTTAATCATTTAAAGATAGAAGCTGTTACTGAACTTATCACTAATAGTGATATTACTACCAGGCCAACTGTGCTCAACAATCCAAAAGCAGGAGAAGTGTATGTCGTTCAAGTGAACAATGGGAAAGGTAATTAACAATATAGATTTTATTTACATTCTATAAATTTTAATTAGTCTAATATTATTAGACTAATTAAGTAATTAAATATTATTTGTAATAAGAATGAGCCTTTATACGCCTTATTTTGCCTTTCTAATTAATAAAGCCTTTTAAACCCTTCAAAAAATTATTAGGTAATAATATTGTTAAGAAGATTAATTTAAATATTAAGAAAAGTTACTTTCTTTAAGTAAATAAGTTACTTAAATAAGTAACTTATTTTTAGTAAATATAAAGATGATAACTTATTGTTATATTTGTAACTTGTTTTAATTCCTAAGTAATACTAAAATTTACTTGACGATGATACTGTCTAGAAAGCTTAGAAAGCCCTTCCCTCTCATTTGTGTTGGCTATTTGTACATCAAAATAGTGTAATATACACAAAAATTTATAACAAACAAAAAATATTACAACATATATATATATATATATATATATATATATATATATATATATATATATATATATATATATATATATATATATATAAACATTTATTGTTGTGTACTTTGAATATCCATTAACTATTAGATGAATTTTTAAAAATACAATAACATGTTTTGTCTATTATATAATAAGTACCAATGTAGGCGGAAACATTTCTTGTTAGATGTATTTAAAATATTTAAAAAAAATTTCATTTTTATTTGTAGATATTTAAAAGACTGTTTTTTTAGATGATTGGCGTGCAGATGGATATAGATGGAAACAGAGTGGATGCTGTAAAATTCCACGTGGCTCTCCAGTTTACTCAAAACTCCACTATGCCACAGTAACATCTACTGGGACATCAACTTTGTTTCAGAAATTTGTGTATAAAGATTTAAGCCAAAAAGATGTTGTTGTCATTCATTATATGGGAAACCACGAACTTGCTGTCCTTAAGCCACATGGTAATTTTTTCATATTATCTTTTAATAACAGTTCAGTAACATGTTTGTTTATAGTATATTTCTCATAGGTTCCTGACTAAAAATTATGTCTAACTAAGGTATATATTAATGGATTTTAGGAAACTCTAAAAAAGCTATTAACTTCCTACCAACAGCTTTATCCGTGCAGAGTGCAATTGTTAATTCAAAAAGTTACAAAGATCTACTCATTGATGTCAAAGACGAGCAGATACAGTTTCAGCCAAGAAATCCAAGACAATTTAAGTATGTAAAAAGTGTTGAGGCAGCAGGTAAAAGAATTGGTACTGATTCCTTTATAACTCTTCATGAACTTGCTTATATGATTCCAGGATTTGTATGGACAATATCCACTTACCCTGACTTGTCAGTATCATTTGGCATGCAGAAATCCATAGATCAGCTTGTTATGTGCTCTGAGGTATTTCTATCATATGATACTACATTTAATTTAGGTGATTTTTACTTATCAATTTTAGTGGCACAAATGAGTTATTTTGTGGAAAAACCATGTATGCCTATAGCTTTTGTATTACATGATCGAAAGTTTGATGTTGTTCATAAACATTTTTTTAAAACTCTTAAAACAAAACTACCAACTCTAAATCAGGTGGTAGTTGTAACAGATGGCGAGAGTGGTCTGGGCAAGTCAATTCAAAAAGCATTTCCTAGGTGGAACCTAGTAACATGCTCTAACCATATTTTGTCAGATGCTGAGATTTGGTTGAAAAAACACTATGCTGGTAAGGAAGAGATAAATGTATACAAATCTCAATTACAAGAACTTTTACAATGTCAAAGTAAGGGGCAGCTTGAAATGAAGATTGGTACATTAAGGCTTTCTTGGAGTGAAGCCTTTGTTATTTATTTTGAAAACCACTTGAGTGCTCGCATTTCAATTGCTTATATTGGACATTTGAGGTCTGTTGGTTTAATGCAAAACTTTATTACAAACAATGTATCTGAATCATTGAATGCTGTAATAAAGAAGTATCAGGATTGGCAAGAGGCACCGGTTGATACAATGCTTATAGCAATGCACCGTTTGCAAGAACTTTATCTAACAGAAATCAGACGCAGTTTTGGTGGCTTTGGGCCATACACTCTCAATGAAAGTAGTCACCTATCTAGTATGTATTTAAAATATGTTATAACTTTTATTTATTTATGAACTGTGTTAACTTATTTATGCTCTATTTTTACACTGTTTTAGGAAAATTAGTTGCACATAAGAATATATTCATCATCAGTATTATATAGATGATATTTAGTCTTACTTTTTTGCACTATGTTTTGGAATTCAGACTAGAAAACTTTGTTTTTTTCTCTAATATATTTTCCCTACAGTGGGTTTTATTCAAATGTTTAGTCATCTCAAACTTTAGTTCAGTTGCGATATGACAAACAAAGAAAAAAATTTAGTGTATATTTTCAAACTTGTTTGGTTTATTTTGTATAAAATTTTTCAAGGCTTACCAAAATTTAGCTTTAATGACTCTAAGCAAGGGTGTGGATTGTTTTGTTTGCTAATTAACAGGCAGTGGGACATTTATTGTGTATAGAGTATTCAACCAGAGTATACTCTAATGAAGCGTAATAAAAAAGTAACAATAATATACTGTGTGTGTAGGTGTGTATATATATATATATATATATATATATATATATATATATATATATATATATATATATATATATATATATATATATATATATATATATATATATATATATATATATATATATGTATGTATGTATGTATGTATGCATGTATGTACAATTGTTGTATGTACTGAGACTGTGTTGCTAGTGCTTTTAGTGGTAGTATTTAATGTTTGTTTTTGTTTTAAACAATCTACGAGTGTGTGCGGTCAAAATTTTGAATGTTCAAGCTCCTTTTCTAATGGCCTCTTTTGGGTTATTGTGAAAAGAAGCAGCCATGCGTGTTTACTTTTTGTCATTTTTGTGCCTTTTTTCAAATTTTTATTTTTTGCATTCAGTACACTTTCATATTTTAATTATACAATACAAAGTTTTCAGAACACTTTTTAGATTAAAATAATTCCAGGTAAACATATTATGTTATTTAATGATTATTTTTGTAGAACTTTTACACACAATATCTACCATTACTGATATAACATTACTTTAATTAAAGAAAAATTATATTTATTTAATTTTTTCAAATTAAATAGTGCTTTTCCAATAGGTAAATATTTGTTGCATGTTCCAGAACAAGAACATTTAGTAGTTTGTTTTTCAAATTTAATAAACATTCAGTGCAGGTAGGTAAAAAATAGAACACAATTTTTTTACATCTTATATATGATTAACGCTTATATTACTTTTTTGGTTATAAGAAAAGAAGTTTTTCCACCTTAATTTCTCTTTTTTCATTTTGTTTTAGTTACCTTACTGTTGAAATATGGTTTGAATTTAGTAAATTTTCATGATTTTAAATTTACTATATTGATCATTTGCCAACAGTTAATGAAAGTTGTATACATATTGCTGTTTAGTATACATAGTTGTTGTTTCAATTATCATAAGTAAATATTGTTATATTCATGGTAAGGTTTATTTAATTTATTGTAATGTTAATTTATATAAATATATCTATGTGTATATATATATATATATATATATATATATATATATATATATATATATATATATATATATATATATATATATATATTTATATTAACAAATTTAAATAATTATAAATATAAATTTACAATAAGTATTATATAATTTATACAGGGATTATCTTTTCCCGGTTATTTCTGGAATTCTGGATATTTTCTTAACTTGTGTTTTTTCTGGATATCCAAAATGTTTTCCATATATACAAGTTTAGCTGTTTATTTTTGTATAATATCTCTTTTTAAGAATTGTCAAGTTAAGAAGAAAATTAAGGGAAATAATATTGTGGGTTTTTTCTGGATATTATACCCAAATAATTTTCCAGATTTTAAAAATATGACCTGGACAATCTATGTTTATAATAATGAGAGTAAGAACAATACTTTCCAAAAGATATACAAAGATCTATTATTTTATTTTTTGGAATTAACAGGATTTTATAATTGATGCAACTTGTAATAATTCTTGTATGAATTTGTCAAGAAGAATTTTTGTAACAATTTGTTAATTGTAATAATTTGTCATGAAGAATTTTTGTAATAATGTCAATTGTAATATTTTGTCTAGAAGAATTTTTTTAATAATACGTCAATTGTAATAATTTGTCAAGAAAAATATGAAAAGCAATGTAATCAACAGTACTTTGAGTTGTAGCAACTGCAACAGAAAGTACTGCTGTTTGAATTATTGATAACTTTTATAAATGAATAATGTGTTTATTAACTTGTCTACACCAGAGAAGAAATATATAGTATAATCTAATTCATAATGACCGGGCAAACTTTGAAAAAGTTTCTATCCAGTTGTTCAAATTATTCTTTTGAATGCTTATAAAGTTAAGTTATGGTTTGAATGTAAAACAAAAAAAGTGAAATTGACAGATTCACAAAATGTTTTAAAAAAGCACTTGATTACTCCTGTCATTATATGACTAATTTAATGTTTAACTTGAACTAATTAATGTTTAATATTTTTCGCCATAATTATTTTAACAGTTTTTTTTTTCTGACTTAGCGCGAAAAAGTCAGACGAAGTGTGTCTATAGTGATGATGTTTGAAGTCTTTAACTATTGTTTCAGTTAACATTGAGGAAATACCCAGAATGGAGGATCCTGAACTTGTAATTGCCGAGCTACGTGCAGCAACCAATGTACCAATAAAGCAGCTTGTACCACCATCAATAAAAGTCCTTTCCAACATGCTAACAGTGGTACATAATCCAACCATCAAAGTTTTTACAGTTTCTGGACCAGATAGCAAGGCGGAAGTGGTGAAGTTATTTCCGAAAGAAAGCTGCACATGTCCTTCATCAACAATGTGCTGCCATATACTAGCAGTTAAACATAGCGTTGGTGTTGAGCATTGTAGTGAAAGGAGACCTCTTAACTTGACTAATTTGCGACGCAATTCGCGGTACATTTATTTGTTTTTTTGTCTTTTTGAATATTTTCAATTTTTTATTAGTTTTCTTGGCAAAATTAATGTTGTTTTGTTTAATAAAATATATAAAAGAACTCCTTTTTAGTAAAAAAGGTGACAAAAAATCAGGAAGGAAGAAGCCAAGGAAAGGAGATATTTCCTTTATCCCTGCACCAGATGCAATTGCCACAACCAAAAATCTTGAAATAAATTGCTTAGATGATTTCTTGACAGAAAATATTGACCTAAAAGATATTGCTATGGCGACCCCATTAACTCAATTTAAAATGTAAAATAATTGTTTTTAAAATTTTAGAATTTTAATATTTAGTGTAAGTGTTTTTTTATAACTAAGTTGTATATTTTATTTAAGGGAACAAAAAAAATTAACATTAGTCAATTCAAGTGTTCCAAAGATATCTCAACCTGCAGGTTCTTTAGTTTTATCCGATTGTTCATTATTTATTAATTCAGATGTTACACCAGTAGTTGATGTTGATAATGGAATGTTTCCAAATTTATTTGAAAATAATTCTTTACATTTTGATAATATTGGTACTGCAGCCTTATTGAATCAATCAAAAATGTAAATTTATTTCCTGTTCCTTGTTTTTGTGCCTTTACTACTTATTATTTTTTTGTTTTTCAGTTTTAATTTTTCAATTGTTGATTAATTAATTTTTAAATTGTTTTTTGTATTAAATATGTTATGGTTTTTAAGCGAGCAAAATGGATTGAAAATTGTCAATGCAGATGCACAGAAAAGTCAATCTACATATTCTTTAGTTGCATCTGATTCTCTATCATTACTTAATTCAGATGTGATACCATTGGTTAATGTTAAATCAGACTGTATTGTAAGTGATACAATTTCTATTTATTCATTTCTAAGTTTTTCTAAGAGTATTTCCGTATTTATGCTTATAGGCTAGTAAGCACTAATTTAAATTAGAGGTGTGTGTTATTGTATTTAATACTCACTCTTGTTATTTTAATTTAATACACCATTACTTCTGATGATATTCCTATATCAAACTAACATTAACCTCCTATGCTTTCACATTTCTACAATTATCTTTATTAAGTAATATCTTTTATTGAGCATTAGTGTAACCACAATAAATATACGTTGTTGACGAATTATTGTTTTTTTTTTAAATCCTCAGTTAAGTCTATATAGTTTTTAGTTTATAATATTTAATGATTGAAATTTTGTTTTCCAGGTTGATGACGAGGCTTGGCTTCGATTTAATACAATGAGTCTAAGCATTGCTGATAGAAGTCTCATCACAAGTCCAGTTGGCCTCCTTAATGACAAAGTAATTTATGCTGCGATGATTTTGTGTAAACGGCAGTTTCCTGAAATGGATGGCTTACAAGACCCTATTCTGTGTTTTGCGGGTCAGTGTAATAGTGCTCCGTTTTCAAGTCGTGGTTTCGTTCAAATTTTTAATGATGAAATTAAAGGTCATTAGATAACTGTAGCTAACCAGCATTGCAAAGAAGGTAAAATAAACATTTATTGCAGTTTACAATTGACTCCAAGCAAAGAGTGTACACGTTCTATTGCAAAATTTGCGCGTCTACAGTGTGCCACTATCGAGCTCAATATAAACAATGTATCCCGCCAAAAAGACCTACTATGTGGATTTTACGCAATTGCAAATTGCGTTACATTGTGCTTAGGCAAAGATCCCTGCAATTTTACGTACAAGGAGTCAGTAATGCGGCAACACTTATTGACTTGTCTTGAAAAAAAACATATTATCCAGTTTCCTGTTGAAAGTTTTAGAACTGTTCGAAAGAGTGTTATTCGTGTTTCAAGAAACTCTTTGTATTGTCTGTGTCGCACTATTTTTATGTCTTCGGATTCAATGATCCAATGTACATTATGCAATGAGTGGTTTCATGCATCTTGCGTAGGTTTAACAGAGGAACTTTTTGTTGAGTACAAAAGAGATATTCGCAAAGTTTATAAATGCGCCAAATGTAAATAGGATTCTTACTGAACATTTATAAATTAACATTTTTTTTTTGGAAAAATGACCTGCCGAATTTTTTTGGTAGATCACACATCAGAAAACGGCTGATAGGATAATCTGCTCTGCCGTTATTAACATTACAATGATCTGCTCTGCCGGTTGCGTTATGATCTGCCAAATTATTTGGCAGATCACACATCAGAATACGGCAGGTCACTTTTTTTTTTGGTAAAGTTTTGCGACTAAAAAATGTCTATGCATAAAAATTAGGTCAAATATTGATTCTTTCTATTCTAAGTGCATTGCCTTTCTTAAAAATATTAGGCAATCACATTGTAACAATTTTATCTATGATCTGCCGAATTTTTTTGGCAGATCACACATTAGGAAACGGCTGATTGAATAATCTGCTCTGCCGTTATTAACATTTCAATGATCTGCTCTGCCAATCTGCTCTGCCGGTTGCATTATGATCTGCCGAAATATTTGGCAGATCACACATTAGAATACGGCAGATCACCTTTTTTTTTTGGAAAAGTATTGCGACAACAAAAAACGTTTATGTTTAAAAAGTCAACCCATAGTTCTTTCTACTTGAAGTGCATCGTTTTTCATAAAAATATTTGGCAATCACATTATAAAAATTCTATTATATGATCAGCCGAATTATTTGGCAGATCACACATTAGGAAACGGCTGATTGAATAATCTGCTCTGCCGTTATTAACATTTCAATGATCTGCTCTGCCAATCTGCTCTGCTCTGCCGATTGTACCTACCCCCTTAAAAACGCGTATAAGCTTTATTTAAGGTGTTTAAGCTATAATTTCATAAAACGTGTTTAAGCTAAAATTGACTTTTAAGTCTTCTAACTACTAAACTTTCACGTAAAATGAAACTTTTTGTCATTTACTGAATGTGTTAAATTATAAAACTGTGCAACAGGTTTATAATTTAAGACAAATCTTATATGTTTAATTGAAAAAGTAAATATTTTGAAAATTAATTTTGTCTATATATATATTAGATGTTCAAGAGATCAGAGCCGAAGAGCTCTTGCCAAGTAAGCTAATTTTGTATGAGAAGGATATGTTACAAAGATATATATTTCACCAATTTCAGCAATTTGTTAATTATAACTTTTTTTTAATGTTTAGCGGAAGTAATGGACAAGCTAAGTGAGGAATTTTGTTGTTGTTTTTTGTTTTTTTTGTGTGCAAATACATTTATGCTTTTTTAGTTTTTTTAAAGATATTTAGCAACTTACTTTTGTCAGTTGTGACAGTTTGTCAGTCAGCAAGTGACTTTTGTAACTTTTAAATGTATTTTATTTAGAAAAATTAGAAGATTCTGTTGAGAATCTAAGTAAGCAATTTGTTATTGTTGTTGTAATGCTCTTTATTTTTTTTATTACATATTTATTTAACATAAAGTTATTCTATATTTGGCAAGTTAGTTTATTTTAATGTTTATAAGTTTTTCATTTTATTTAGAAAAATTAGAACATTCAATGGGTAAACAGAATTTGATTATATTACATTTGTGTATTATAGATAAAGCATTTTACTTTCAAAAAAAAAGGTGTATTCTATGGTCTTTTAGCTTTTTTGATACAATTTTTAGCATTTTTTTTATAGGGCTTATATTTCAACAACTTAGTAAGTTACTATATTGTTCTTGTGAATTGTTTCTTTACTTTTATTTTTTATTTTTTTTGTCGCTTTTTTCTTTTTTGGTTTGTTTTGTTTTGTGATTGTTATTTTTGCCTTTTGTTTTGTTCCAACTTTATTTATAGATTTCCTAAAGTTGACAAATATTCTGCATGTTAGTTTCTTTCCTAATGTTAATGAGTTTTTTTATTCTATTTAGAAAATTAAGAAAATTCAATTGGTAAGGAAAGTACACTTATGTTTCTTTTTGTTTAATTTTAACACACATTTTTTGATGTTTGTGTGCGGTTTTATCACTCTAAAATAAAATGTTTAATTGATTAGTATATGTTAGTTTATGTAAATATATTTTTTACCTCCACTATAGCGTTATCTGCAGTACCATCAGGTAATGTGTTTTGCATTCTTATGTAGTTTCAAGAGTGTTATGTGTGTTAAAACTTAAAGTTAGCATATCTTAATTTACAGATTACTTTATTTATTTATTTTTTTGTCTCTACATTAGCACCTCAAGCAATAATATCAGGTAATCTGTTTAGCATACTTATGCAGTTTTATGGGTTTTATGTGTATTTAAACTTAATCATTACTGTTTTCATGCAATTACATAAATGTTTAACATATGTTACTTTATACACTTTTTTTTTTACCTTTACAATAGCACTTAATCATTACTGTCATCATATGCAGTACCATCAGGTAATGTGTTTTGCATACTTATGCAGTTTTATGGGTTTTATGTGTATTGAACTTAAACATTACTTTTTTCATGTTTGTAAACAATTTCATAAATGTATAACATATGTTACTTTATACACTTTTTTTTTTTTTTTACTTTCACAATAGCATCAATATCATCTGCAGTACCATCAGGTAATGTGTTTTGCATACTTAACAGTTTTATGGGTTTTATGTGTATTGAAACTTAAACATTACTTTTTTCATATTTGTTATCATTTACATAAATTTTTAAAATGTTACTTTATATATTTTTTTGTGTCAGTAAGAATTTTTATCTTTAGCAATGTTGATAAAACTAAATTAAAAAAAAAAAAAAGAGTATTTCCAGCTTTCCAACCAAATATTAGAGACATTTACAAAAGCACCATCACAAAGTAAGTGTCTAATATTTATTTAATATTACTAAATTTCGTTTCGTATTTTTTATTTTTCAAATGAATTAACATAAAACAAATAAATGTGCGTTCAGTGTTATTAATAATGATTTTATTTCATTTTTAGATAATGCTTTTATAATCAATTTAAAAGTCTTTCAAATCGTTAATCATTTTCTAAAGGCGAAGAAAAAGAATCATCAATCTTCATACTATTTAATAAAGCTATTTTAATAAAACGCAATACAAATTGTTGTAAATTAGTATTTGAATAATTTTCACGTTGCTACCTTATTTTGCAGTTTCCTATCACTTTGTATTGAATTAACTAAATCCAATATTACAGTGCCTTATATCAAGTAATTCACATTTTCTGTTTTTGTTTTATGCAGAAAAACAGATCAAGTTAATTTATTTGACTTGCCTAGCTACTTATTTTACACGCCTAGCGACAGTGAGTGTGCATAAATCAACAGAGGATTTGGGTTTGGGCAGGTTGTCTTGAACTAAATGATTTACCTTCTTCATGTTAAGCTCTAAATATAAATATACGGAAAAGGTGCATATGTGAATTTTTTTTTTTTTTCTAGCACATAATCTATTGTTCACTAAAAAATATTAGAGTGAGAAATAAAGATAGGGTTAATGTGGAATAGAGTTTGTCCTTTTAAGTGAAAAATTTTATAATCTATCTATTTTCTATATAATAATGCCAAACTTAATAGTAGTGTTAGTAGAAAGAGTCGCAACACTTTTTTTTAGAAGAAAACGTGTATGCAAATATCTAACGTACGTAATTAAGTAATGATAAAACATACTGAAACATTTTTCAAGTTTTATACTTTGACTTTGACTTAAAAATTGCATTGCGTCAACCTCTCCTAATTTTTTGATCTACAGCAATTCCGTTAAAAACAATTTTTATATTTTTTTTAAAATTTCGATATTTGATGTGTCAGCATGGCCGAGTGGTTAGCGCGCTAAGCCTCTGAACGTAATAGTCGTGGTTCAAATTTACCGCCAGCGATTTTTTTCTTTAAATTACAAAATATTTGTGAAGTTAAACAAGTTAAATGTTATACACTTTAACCGTTTTTTATTTTTAATTTTATAAATTTTTTGGATTTCTTAAAACACCAATAAACGTGGCGAAATTTTTTTGCGTGTGTGTCACGATTTTGATACTGTTCTCGCATAATTGGTCCTAATAAGCTACGGATAGTCTTAAAAAAAAAGGTCCTAAAACCTAATAAGGAAAAAATTTGATAAAACCGTCGTGCTACTCCACATGGTATTGCAGTGGAGGCAGGGAAAAAAAAAAGCAATTAAAAGGTTTTTTGTTATATTTAATTTTTTGCTATAAATATAGCCAGATTAAAAAAATTTTAAAAAATGTATTGAGATTTTTTAGGCGCGAATTTGAAGCCTTGCACAGCGACTCTGATGACTGCGCACTTAACTTGTGAGCTATCAAAGTTATGCATGTAGTTAGGTGCTTCAACATTTTTTTAAAAATGTAAAATGAAAACAAAATAAATACCATAAGTAAGAGCTAAATAATAACGTTTAAAAATTACCAAATATTTTGTTATAATATTATTAGTTTTTCAACTTTTAAACCACAAAATTTATAATTTATTTTTTTGCATGACTTTTGACGCTTTAAGCGACTAACGTTTTAAAGAATTGCATTACCGTTTCCGTCTAATACAAAGATAACTATAAAAGACCGTTATTGTTCAAAACTAAGCATATAATAATAATAAATATAGTAAACTATTGAATATGGCTAGGACGCGACCATAAACCATGGTCCATGGCTGGTCTAAAAGTAGGAAGTAGTTTAGTTCAGAATTTTTTTAAAACAAAATAAATAAACGGGATTTAATAAGCTATATACGCATGCGGAAAAAGTTCGTATGTTAAAGTTATTTTTTGCTCTTAAAGCAAATTTTTTTAATGAATTTTTTTCCACAGTTTACTAAAAAATATTGAGATAAATAAAGAACAAGTAAAGAAATGATTGGCGTGGAATTGATAAATATAGAAGTAGAAGAAAAGACCTGCATTTACCGATACGGACAGCTAGATTAAGAAAATAAAGCAAAAGGTTTGTGTGGAATAGACTTACAAAGACCCGTATTTTTACGGGTCAATTCAGCTAGTTTACATTATTAACTTAAATACATAATTTCAAAATAAATTCATAATTTAAAAAAACAAAAGTTGGTAAATATTTCATTATCACAATTTTGTTTCATTAATAACAAAATCAAATCAATATCAAAACTAAAAAATTATGTTATTATATCCAGGCTAATATATTCATGTCTTGTTATAACAAAACTTTCATCAGAATACTTTCTGAAGCCAGTTGACAACGACAGTACATGAGAATCAAATAAATTGTTTATTTTAACAGCTGTATATTTAGATGTTTTACATACATTATAGCCAGCAATACGAGCATCATAGTGTATGGTAAAAAGATTTTCAACTATAAGTGTGCATTCGTTTTCACGGACAAGTAGATATAGAATCTTTCCGAAACGTGGGAGACAAAGTTTGGTTAGCGCTAAAACTACAATAAAGTCTGGCATGTACTTTACACCATCTGTGATTACATAACTTGCACAAAAACATTCTTCATACAGTGGAATTTCACCAAAAACAGCCATTGGTAAAGGTAAGCAAGCAGGCATAGTTTCAATACCAGGACCTACTTCTGCACTGAGTATACTTGCAAAATTTGACAAATCAAGATGTAATTGTATTTGCTGACGCCATGCAATACTTTTGCAAACATTTTTAAAGTTGTGCAAAATGTGACATTGCTCCTTTGCAGGAGCATGTTTTCCTTCAAATCGCATACACCATTAATTTGGTGAAGGACCTAGTTGTAAAATTTTTGAAGGATAATGGACAAGAAAATGTTGTTTTGGAATAACAGTATGTCCAGAAAATATTTTTGTAAACAACTTGTGATGAATGCTAATGACCTCTGTTAAATAAGTTATTAAATGAACAGTCACTTTTGGAGCAAAGGTTATTCCACATATTTTCAATAATAAATGAATTAAATGAAAGTACTGGTTATCAGTATCTACAACATCACCAAGCAACAAACAAAAAAATCTTCCTAAACACCAACTTTGTGTTGCATTTAAACCTAACCTTTTGTCTTTAGAAATAAGTTTTTCACGTGTTATTTGCAATGCCAAAATTAAAGGTTTGCAATCGACAGTTGAATTCCTCAATGGACAACAGGCAATCAGTTAGTAATAAGCGATGAAGAACTATTTTTAATTCATACTGTAAGCAACCCTCAAGTATGTCATGCATTGAATCTGGGCAAATGTTATCAGGAACAGAAAAATACTGAAGCTCTGACAATGGATTTCGTTTATATACACCAGATAATTTATTACTATTAGCTTCACTAAAAAGTGCTTGACAATCTGCAATGTGACGCTCTTTAGTCCTTAAGTCTAGATCTTCTTCATAAAAAGTGTGTTGCATTTGTTCTTTTGTTGTATAGCAGTAATGACAGCTCTTGTTGGCAATAAAGTTTGAACTAAATCCAAAAATTTGGTGCAATGCAAGATTGTCCCCAGACCACATAACTACTGCACCATATATGCAAATGTAATTTCCATTTATATACAATTTAACTCCCTTCTCTAGAGCTACCAAGTCCTTTATTAATGGCTTTAAAAGCTTTTCATATCCATACTTTGCAACATCAGCTGAAAAACAATAAATTACAGGATATATGTTAGTCAATTTAGAGCATTTCTTTATGTTAACATTTTTGATGGACAAATAAACTGCACAAACTTTGTGAACTTTAGTTTTTGATCCTAAAGGATTTACTGTTTCAAAATCATCACAGTATAGTTGAAGCTGAAGAGCATCTGGATGTTTCTTGTATAAAGGATGATTCTTATATTGTTCCTCATCACTACAACAAGTTAATTTATTTAATTTTGTTAAAACGTTATTATCTATTTTGTCAACGGAGTACTTTGAAATCACCATAGAAATGGTTTCTAGAATAGGAATATACTGCATAGTTTCATTTCGATAACTCATTACATTATTTTTATAAACTTAAACCCAACAGTTATTTCAATAGGTGCAACCATCCCTTTTTGTTGTAAGTGTTTTCTTTGCAGGTAACTAGATGTAATTAAACTAAACTATACACACTCACATTCAGTATCATTTAGGACATCACTTACTCTGCCAGCATCTGTTTCATCATTTTGAATTGTTTTTTGTACACTTTCAATAACTGTGGATAAAATATTTTGAATACTTTAACCTACATACTGAATTATAACTTCACTTGTGTTACGACATCTTAGAGTCATTAAAACATCTAAAATCATTTCTTTTATCTTTTCCCCATTTAATTCACTTGAAAAAATAGTATTTCTGTTATCTTTATCAATATGTGCTGCTGTATAAATACCTAGCTGATCCATTAGCTCACCATTGCTTTCCATAGGAGAAATATTTATATCGTTATATTCCAAATGAGGGTCAATTGGATGCTTTCTATATAAATGAATTTTAAGGGAATGGACACTGTCATATGTTCTGCAACAGCCACCTTGTCTACAAGAAATTTTACAATTTTGTGTTGAAGTAATACCATGGCGATAATGAAAATGTTTTAAAAGATCACTTACAGTCTTCAATGATACTAAAATAGACTCACAAAAAACACAAAAATAACCCATTGTTAATACTTAACAGTGATGAAAAAATTTTAAGTAATTAACTACAAACTAAAAATTATTAATCTTGATTCAAAAAAGCTGTCCTAAAATTTTTAAACATCTATTTGAAATAGTACAAATTCCAAATTTAGTTGCTGTTTTTTATTTGTGTTTTGTAATTTAGGTGTTTTGATTTTATTATTATTTTAATGTTTATTTATTTACAAAAAAAAACTTAATTATTTTGTTTATTAAAAGACAACTGTGAAAATGAATAACAAGAAAAAAGAAGAGGAAAAAAGTTTAACAAGTAGTTTCAGAAAGAGAAAAAATAAAGAAATAGCTAATGAAAGTTTTGCAAAACAGCTGCTAAAAATACCAAGACTGACATCTTTTTTTGCTTCAACTTCAAACACAGTACAATTGGAAAATATTAATAGAATGCTAGATGAAAGTGCCAATACGACCGAAAAGTATTCTGAAATAGAAATATCAAATATGTCAAATATAGCTAAAGTACCGCTAAAAAAAGCAGAAGTTAAAAATATATGTGATTTATCTGAAATTATTTGTGAGCAATACCCTTCTGATTTTGCAAATTTTAAAGATGTTATAAAGGTAGAAGAAAAACAATTCATTTTATCTGTCGGTCCTTGTCTTCCTGAAGGACCTTTTCCTAAAGATGATAGAAATCGTTCTTTCTCAATAAATTACTATAAAAAAGTTACAAAATCAGGAATATCTATTGAAAATACTTGGTTATGCTACTCACCAAACAAAAACTTAGTTTACTGTCAACCTTGTTGGTTATTTTCAAAAAAAAATAGTGGTTGGGTACGAGGTATAAATGACTGGCAAGGACTTTCAAAAAAAATAAAGAAACATGAAATTTCTGAGGTTCACATAAATACTTGTTTTATTTTGAAACAATGGAAGGAGGAAAAAACAATAGATACTATGTTACTCGATAATATTCAAAAGGAACAAACATTTTGGGCAAAAGTTTTAGAAAGACTTACTAAAATAACATTAAAATTAGCTAGAAATTGTAGTTCTTTTCGAGGGCAAAATGGTTCACTTGAAGATATTTATAATGGTAATTTGGGAAAGCGGAATAGTATCGAAAATTAACTGATCGAAAAAATGATTAGTATCAAAAAATAACTGACCGAAACTCTTAATGATTAAGATCGAAAATGTGATTTTCAGATTAATATCGAAAAGTTTTTATATCGAAATTCACAAATTTGGAACAATATCGAAAACAATAAAAACGGAATAAGATTGAAAACTCATTTAACTGATTAACATCGAAAATGTGATTTTCTGATTAATGTCGAAAAGTTTTTATATCGAAATTCACAAATGTGGAACAATATCGAAAACAATAAAAAAGGAATAAGATCGAAAACTCATTTTAATGATTAACATCGAAAATAAGATTTTCTGATTAACGTCGAAAACAACAAAATCAGAATAAGATCGAAAACTCATTTTAATGATTAACATCGAAAACGTGATTTTCCGATTAATGTCGAAAACAATAAAAACGGAATAAGATCGAAAATTTTTAATTGTCAAAAATTCTTTTTAATGATTAACATCAAAAATATGAGTTTATGATCACACTTTTGTTTTATAAAAAACTAGTACTAGGAGAAAATCTTAAGAAATTTTTGATACCAAGTCACTTTTCAATAAGAAACTTATTAAAGTGTTCGATGAATATTTCGTAACTTTTCACCCTAATATCGCATCAGCTTAACAAAGTTAGCATTACCTACAATGGAGAACAGCAGTTTAAATGAACAGTTAATTTGCAAGTGCAATAAAATTCCGCTCGAATTAAAACTTAAAACTTAAGAAACTTTTAAGAAACTCAATATTCTAAAATGTCGTTAGAGAACTTATCAAAAAATTATAATGAAACTGAAGGAGAAAGAAAAAATTCAAATGTGTTTTGGTCTGGTGATTTTGGATACACTAAAGATAAACTTTATAAAGACAAACTGCATCTTAAGTGTCGTTTTTTTACAAGAATGAACTGCAAAGGCAGAGCTTTTATTCATGAAGATAAACTTCAGGTTACAACTGTTTACAGCTGCAGTTCAAGAAAAACGGACTTTGAAGTGCTGCTTGCTAAAAGTACCATGAAGAAAAAAGCAGAAGCATCATCTAAAGACCTACGCTTAATTTTTCAAAACACTTTGAGTGAGTTTCCTGCAGTTGTTTCTGAATCTGTTAGTTTTCGTCAAAGTATCCCAAGTCTTCATAAAAGGAGAAGGCTAAATGAGCCTTCAAACCCAAAATCACCTAATGAAGCTGCTGAAGTTCTGAACGACAAAGAGTGCCATCGCTATGGAGACATTTTCTTGGGATCAGTTGCAGAACAGGATAACGTAGCATTGCTGTTTGGGCATATGCTAGTCATCAACAAGGCGAAATCCGCCAAAGTGTGTTTTGTTGATGGAACATTTAGGTATTTATACGTATGCATTTAACTTTTTCAAAAAAATATATGTTCTAGAAGAACATATATTTGTCTAGGGGGCTGTCCATTAATTACATCAACAAACTTTTAGCTATTTTTACATTACTCCCTCCCCCAAGTCAACAATTTGTTAAATTTCCAGAGACACTTCTTTCCCCTATAAAGTTACGTCAATTTTTGATAACCATTCTCCCCGAAAGAAAGACGCTGCGCTAAAAACGAAGGCAAATTTTTCTTTTTTTGAGTAACGAAATTAAAAAAATAAAGCAAATTATTGATGTCAACTTTACTTGACCTCCTCCCCTCACCCTTAGCAAAAATTTTCAAAAAAATTTAGACACCTTCTTCCTTATTTTTTTAACGTTATTAATGGACAGCCCGTAGACGAAAAAAGTGATATATTAAAAACGTTAGGTAGAACACTTTTATTTACAGTTGTAAATTATAGTTACATTTATTGTACTTCCAGCATGACACCACGCATGGAGGAAAGTAAGTGGTATCAGCTCTTGACGTTTTCTCTTGAGTATTCAGCAGTACTTGAAGATCCAATTCCAGATAAGGATCAAATGAATTTTGATCCTGATAACCCTAACCTTTGGGGAATATCTGTTCCAGTTGTATGCGCTTTAATGACATCGAAATCTGAGGCTCTATACAAGCTTGTTTTTTCCAAAATAAAAGAAGTTTTAGATTTCTCTCCAGTCACCATTATGTCAGATATTGAACGAGGACTACAGAATGCTTTAAAAACAACTTGGAGTGAAAGCTTGGTGAATGGTTGCAGGTATAAGTTATTACTTTGTTATTACTTAGTTTCCAGTTTCTAAGTTATCCAAGTTTTTCAGAGTTTGTTATCAATTAATGATCTCCTTTAAACCCTTATCTTTAAGTTTCATATCGAAAATGCAATCACCAAGCAATTAGCAATTCTTGGTCTTCAGAGGGAATACCGCCACCAAATTCAAGTAAAGAAATGGGCACGAAAAGTTTCAGCACTTTGTCTCCTTCCTGCAAACAAGATCTTGGTTGCTTGGGGATCTCGAGTTATTGAGATTGCACAATTTAGTCGCGAAATCAAAAGCAAACTACTTGCTTTTAAAAGGTATTTTGAGAGTTATTGGCTCAATATAGTGACCCTAGAAGGATTCAATGTTTATGGCTTGAACCACAAAACCAATAACGATGCAGAGAGTCTCAATAGACGTTTGAAATCAAACATGGGTGATCGACATAGAGGATTTTGGCAGTTTATGAAATTGCTTAACCAGCATGTAATAGTCCATACAATTCAAGAGCTTCAACAGCATGCCTGCAATCAGCCAGTCCACCGTGACCAACGCGACTATGGTGCAATTGAAAAAATGCGTTGTTTTGAGAAAAAACTTTGAGACGGAGTTTGGACAACTGAGAGATTCCTATCAACAGTATCATATCTCTTTCAAAACTTCAAAGTAGTGTAAAATAATTTTCCAAGTTTTTGTATAACGCTTCTTATTTATTAACCTTTATCAATTTTTTTACCAAACTAATTAGTTTAACTTTATTTGATAATCTGTTATTTTCCATGAAATACGTAAAATTGTATTTGAACTTTTTAAATATTTTTAGTGCTTTGGATAAAAACTCAATGAACGAGGTTAGTGAGAGTCTTCCTTTGCCAACTTCTACTTCAACAGAGTCACCGAAGTGCGTTGTTTGTACCGTCAATGAACGAAATGCATTAGTAATGCCTTGCAGACATTTTATGTTTTGTCCGCCCTGCATTCAATAAGTCCAAAAAAGCAACACAGCTCATTGTCCCGCTTGCTGAGGACCAATATCATCTATAATTGAACCTTTTCAAAGATTCAGTAAAATTTTCCCTTTTACCTATATTTTAAAAACTAGAATGTCACACAATTGTTTAAATTTATTTTAAAAAATTTATTATATAAAAGCAGTATAATTTTTTTCCTATTGCTCCGCCTGGAATAAAAAATAATCAATAATGTCATTTTTTAGTTTACATAAATGACTTTAAATTCCATTTGGGCCTACAAGATTTTCCGTAAGTTGGCGTATTGTATTGGTTTCAGTTGAGCCAACCCCATATTACGTTAAGGATAAGGACTAAATAAATTCTATCTCCCTAGAAACAATAGTCATTTACATGTTAAAGTTATTGTATAGATAAATGTAGCATAAAATTCTACAGCTGCTTGTCTAGCAAAATTAAATAAGTTTCCTTGAAGCAAGTGACAGTATCAACAAAAGACTTATCGTGAGGGTTACTATGTTACGATTAGCACTTTCGTGTGCACAAGCATGTTAGAAGCAACTTTTTGCTTTTAACTTTTTTTAACTAGGTTTTAACTTGCCTAGCTAGCTTTTAACTTGTTTAACTTGGTTAAAACTAAGAAGAAGAAAACGAGTGCTAAAACATTTTGGGCAGGGATCATAACTTGTTACAGTCAGCAAAAAAATATATAGAAATTAAACAAAAAACTATATAATTGGAATAAGCACGTCAAAAAGTATGTGAAAACCATGTGCTGAAAATATTTCCTTTCCAAGATATAACACCTTATAGATTATATAAAACACAGACCCAGATTTTACAGACCAGCACAAAACAGCTATAAAAAAGGATTTTTCATCCTTAATTTGCTTTATAATAAATATGAATTTTGTTTAAAGAGTTGCTATTGATATAAATTTTCTATTAAAAGCTAGTTTCTGTTAAATTTATTACGTCCTTACTGTTGGTAGGGGTGGGGAAAGGGAGGAGATAATCGGAAGCGATTGACATCTTTTTTTTGACCAAATCTTAGTTTCACGTTATAAAAATTAATTAAGATTTTCTATTCTTGACCACAATTTTCTCCGAAACGACCAACCTAACCTCAAAACCTTTACGATATGGGCTTGTATATTTATAGAAGGTTATTTCATATATTTTATTCACTAATATAAATACTAATAATTCTTCAAGTTTCCTAAAACGCCTTACAAAATTTTTTATGAATATAATTTGCGAATAATATATTAAAGTAAGTGTTTAATAGTTCTTTTTGGTATTTTATGTTTTGCTTACATAAAATATTTAGTTAACATTCAAGGCAGTGCACAGTGGGCCAGCAGTGAGCAAAAATTAAAAAAATGAGCAAAGCCAACCTTTAACAATTCAAAAATTTTTAAACTATTTTGAAAGTGAGTAACCTAAAGAAAATTTAAATGGTTGTAATATTATGTTTTAGTAAATAGAATTATTGTTAAATTGATTTTATAATGTTAATATTGTTAAATTGATTTTATATGTAGTTATTAATTTTGATCACTTTTTCATGTTTCTGGCCTACTGTGCAGTGGACCTAAAATCATTTTGTTAAAAAATCACTAAAGGGCAAATGCTTTCAAGCATTTAAACAAAGGCGATCTTTTTTATTAATTCCAAAAGATGTCACTAATATTTCTATAACACGTTATCTATGATAAAAACAACATTGTTGTTGCAAATGATAAATAACATTATTTATAACTGCGTTACTTGGATTTGATTTACAATTTAAGCGGATAAAGAAGCTTGAAAATAAGTGAAGTTTGAACTGTATTTTATGAAGTGCACCACCACTTTTGTGAAATATTATGTTCATAGTTTTGTCATTAACATGGATTTGTGAGTTTTATCATACTTCGCTTTAACGCGTTGCAACGCGTAAAATTAAAATATGATAAAGTTCGGGTATAATGTGACTCTTCGATCACATTTCCATGTTAACGACAAAACTATTTGCATGATATTTCATAAAATTGGTGGTGCACTTCATAAAATAGAGTTCAAATTTTACTTATTTAGGGTTTGAGTTATTACTGAAAAATTTTCAGAATTTTTTTTTTGCTTATTTATATAAGTTTAACGTCATGGCTCCCAGCCCTAAATGAGAAAAATGTTTCTTCTTAGATTTTTACATATATTCTTGATATTTATAAATGTAAATGAATCTTTACTCTGACAGTTTGAAAAAAGTCTTTTTCTTTAAATTGAGTTAATTTTTGTAGTTTTAACAGAGTTTTTTTTTTACTCTTGGCCCAATTTGCCCCAAAATGGGAAAACGGGCTTTGATTATTTTTATATTTTTATCTATTGTCCTAAATGGGCGATTGGGCCAAGAACAATCAAAGTTCTGTAGAAGAAATAAGACCTAATATTTTTATCTATTTTCTTGTTATTTATTAATGTTAATGAATTTGTTTACCCTGACCGTTTAAAAAAACTCTATTTCTTTATCTAAAGTTAAATTTTACGGTTTAAACGAAGCTTTTATAGCTTTTGATCAAATTGCCCCAAATGGGTAAACGAGGAATGAAATTCTTACCTAGGGGCCCCTAATATGAGAATGATAATTTGTAGAATTGAATGCTTTAGTAAAAAAGAAAACAATAAAAATAATTCAGCATAAGTACTTCTAATGAAATTAGAAGTACTTATGCTGAAATTCCTAATGAAAATAATGAAATTCCTTCTTGATAGCATATGAAAAATAAACTTATTATCAAAATTTAGTGCCATAATTCCTTAAGAAAAACTCAACAAATCTTGACGCGAAATAGGCGTTATTGAGCCCAACATAGATTGTCATAACTTGGGAACCAGTTATCCAAATTTAAAAAATGAACACATTCTGAAAGCTTCTTCATTACCCGCATATAATGGTATTAATTATAACAAGAGATAATTGTAATAGTAAAATCGTGTGAAGTGCCTACTGTAAATAAAATTAATACATTTTGTTTTGAATCGTTTTATAAATAGCCAACAACACAACATTCAATATATTTTATTCTACTAATAGAGCTTTTTGTTTATATTATACAATTATACAGTGTAATTCTACACTTTAATTAAAAACCGCAAAAAACCGCAAAAAACCGCAAAAAACCGCAAAAAACTGCCGTCTATTATTCTGCTTTTGGAATTTTTAAACCTATTATTAAAATTCACCTTTTCGGAAAGTCCTTTTTCGATTTTATTCCTTTTTTCACAGTTTCGATGTAATTCCGCAAAGGCCCGTTTCGATATTGTTCCTTTTTTTACAATTTCGATCTAACTCCGTTTTTTGAAATTTCGATACTATTCCTTTATTCACACTTTCGATATTGTTCCGGTAAGTCCTTTTTCAATATTATTCTCTTTTGAGCTGTTTCGAGATTATTCTGCTTTTAGGATTTTCGATACTAATCCTTTTTTAACAAATTTGAAATGTTTTCTTTTTCGATATTATTCCGAAAAGTCCTTTTTCGATATTATTCTTTTTTTCACAATTTCGAGGTTATTCTATTTTTCGGATTTTCGATACAATTCCTTTTTTTACAATTCGATGTTATTCTCTATTTCGATGTTATTCTGGAAATTCCGTTTTCGCTGTTTGGCTGTTTTCGATACTGTTACTGCTACCCGGTAATTTTTTATCAGATGTTCAACTATTAGCGGAATATGATATTGTTTTGAAAGAAGTGATATCTTTGCCTCGTGGCCATGTTAATTACTTATCGCCTCAAATTCAAAATGAAATTATTTGTCTTTTGTCAAAAAATTTAGAAAGAAAAATTAACAATGATATCAATTTAGCTCCTTTTTTTTCAATGATTGTCGATACTACTCAAGATTTATCAAAAACAGACCAACTTAGTATTTCCTTTCGATTTGTTAAAATTTGTTATAACATAAATGGATCTCCTCTCCTAATAAAAATTGAAGAAAAATTTTTAGGGTTTTTTAAAGTTAACAATCAATCGGCAAGTGCTATATCAAATCAAATTATTAATATACTAAAATCATTTAGTCTTGATTTGAAAAAATGTAGGGGACAAGGTTATGATGGGGCGAGCAACATGAGTGGAATTTACTCTGGAGTACAAACAAGAATAAAAGAAATTGATAAAAACGCAATATTTATTCATTGCGCGGCCCACAATTTAAATTTAGTAATAAATGATGCTATGAATGGGGTGCCAGATATTAGCAACTGCTTTCCTAGTAATCAAGAAATATATACATTTTTTGGTATTAGCATAAATAGGTGGGATATATTATCAAAAATAACAGGAGAATCAGAAGTAACGTTAAAAAAATTAAATCCTACACGCTGGGCGTCTCGTTTATCATCTTGTATAGCCATAAAACAAAGATATGTAGACGTAATGAAAGCTTTATCTAAAATTATTTTGGAAAGCAATAAAAACGCAGAAATAGCACAAGCGACCGGTTTAAGAAAGAAAATGGATTGTTTAGATTTTCTTTGCATTTTGATGTTAATTATTGAAATATTAGCACCATTAAATATCGTTTCAAAATTATTACAATCTAAAAATATGGATTTGGATAAAGTTTGTTCATTATTAGAAACTGGAATAAAAGAAATAAAATCACTGCGCAATAATTTTGATGATATTCTTGCAAAATGGAATATAGTTCCAACTTTTAAACAATCACAAATAAAACGAACAAAAAAACTGTTTGATGACGGTGGTGTAAATTTTCGTTTTAAAACGGCTGAACATTAATTTAAAGTTGATGTATTTAACACAGTTATAGATATTGTTACAAATCAGATAGATTCTCGTTTTACTTCCCTGAAAACAGTAATTAGCTATTTTTCATTTTTAAATCCCAAAAATATAATATTATTAGATTCTGACAAAATATTTACACAAATTTGCAAAATAAATATCCGATAGATATATCTGATGCCTTTCCAAATCAAATGGTTTTGTTTAAAAAAACTTTCAAAATGGAGCTTAAAAATGTGGACAGTATTTTGGATTTGCTCAAATTAATAACAATAACATATTATGATATGAGTTGCTCTTTCACTGAAATAATCGGAGCACTTACGCTATATTTGAGATTACCCGTTAGCGTGGCAACTGCAGAAAGATCTTTCAGCACGTTAAAAAGAATCAAAACGCATTTAAGGACAACGATGACACAAAACCGTTTGTCTGCGTTAAGTTTATTAGCTATTGAAGCAGAAGAAGCAGCTAAATTAGATTTAAAAGATGTGATAAACCAATTTGCAGCTATGAAAGCACGAAAAAAACAATTTCGTTAGAACTTCTACATACTATACATACAAAACTTTCTGTCATTAATGATAATATATCATTAGTTTGTGTTTTAGAATACAGTTTTTTATTTTCATGTATAACTTATTTGTCTGGAAGAAAGGTAATGGCAAGGTGGGGGGGGGGGGAAGGGAATAAAAAAGAAGTAATTTAGGTGCCCGGATTAAATTTTTGCAGGGGGGGAGGGCAATTATTTGTCGCTACGCTACTGATATATATATATATATATATATATATATATATATATATATATATATATATATATATATATATATATATATATATAGTCTCGAAATCAGACTTAACTCGCTAAGTCGGGCAATAAGTATATAACCCTTCAGAGTCTGAGTTATGTAGTACTCGATGTAGTTAAGGACACTTTTGCAAAAAACGCGATTTTTAAAAGCTTTAAAAGTTAAACTTTTATTTTGCCAGGTTCTAAATATAATACTTTAAATTTTTCAACAAATCTGATTAAATTAACTCCCCTTTAATTATATTACGTAAAAATTTAAGTAAACTTGAAATTTTTGAATATTTTAAGCTGCACGAGATGTTGCTAAAAACGCTCATATATGTCTATTTCGCTCATCGAGGGAGAAGTTTTACATTGCCATACTTTCCGGTGTTAATTGTAACCTATATTATACATTAGAAAAGAGCGTGTCACATGATAGAGTCGAAAATATTTATCCTCGAAAATATCACTGAAATAATTCACAACCGAAAATTTTAGAACCGAAAAGTATACTTTCATTGCAGGATCGAATTACAAAATCCTTTCTTGCGCCGAAAGTTTTTAAACCGAATTTTACAACCGAAAAAATTTGGATCGAATTACAAAATCCTTTCTTTTTTTAATCTATTTTTTTTTTTTTTTTTAGTCGTTTTACAATAAAATAAACAATTAAAATTTCTTTAAAATATATATATATACATATATCTTATACTGCTAAGTTACGTGAGCATGATGATGTCATACTCACCTAACTTCAAATAGCCTGCTGCTGGTGGCTTCAGCACATACATCGACTGACAAATAGCCTGACTCGCAGTGGAGTGCTGCTACATCGACTGAGGGTTTGGTATGGGTCAGCAACCTTTTCATTCATTATTCTTCGTTTTCTCTTATCGTTTTCTAAAAACGCTCACTTAATTGTAATTAATTAAGTGTAACTTTCGGTTGCAAACCATTTTAATGAAATTCGGTTCTAAAATCATTAATGACTTTCGATCGAAAATTCGATCGAAATTTTTTCGGTTCCAAAATCATTAATGACTTTCGATCGCAAATTCGATTGAAATTTTTTCGGTTCTAATTTTTTTCGTAAATATTTTCGGTTGTGTAATAAATTTCTCATATTCAGTTCTAAATTGAAATCAGAGATTCGGTTGAATCATAGGACGCCGAAAAGAGTGGCATGTCAAAAAGTTATTTATTACAATAATATTTTTACTTTTATGATTGCTTTCTGCTGTTATATATGAATAATTCGGTTATAAATCAACTGTAAATAGTTTATTTGAAACATTATTAGATTACACTCATTGCAATTCGATAGTATAATTCTAATTCTACAATTTAATGAAAAAAGCAACATGTTTCATTTTAAACCAAGCTACCCAGTTAACCAACCCAGCTGGATCCCAGCTGGGATTGACTGGGATTGAGCTGCGATTACTGGGATTGGGTTCGGGCTGAGATTTGTTCTAAGTGCCAGATGGGTCCCATATGGTGTAAAAATATTGCCGCAAATAAAGTCTGGGTTTTTACTGGGATTGGCATGGGTCTTCCGTAAATGGTTTACGGCTGGTTTGAAGATGAGACGCGTAGGTTTATGGTAGCGTGTATTTCTAATCAAAGCAGTTTTTTTGGCATCGTTTTTATTAAGAAGTTTTGTTGAATTAAAATTACAAAACTACAATGTTAAATTTTTTT